ATCCTAAAGTAGGCACTTAAATTTTTTTTTAATGTTAATTTCTGAGAGAAACAGAACACGAGCAGGGGAGGGGCAGAGAGAGAGGGAAACACAGAATCTGAAGCAGACTCCAGGATCCAGGCTTTCAGCACAGGGCCCAACACGGGGCTCAAACTCATGAACCATGAGATTATGACCTGAGCTGAAGTGGATGCTTAACTGACAGAGCCACCCAGAAGGCACTTAAATATTTCATTGAACTGAAAATATTTCCCTGCCTGAAATACTGGATCTAAAGTCTGAAGAACTTGGTTTACAACCAGCGTACTGAATCACTTAGGAACGAAACTCGTACCATTACTTTTGGGATTGCGATAACGTGATAGCTCATGATAGATGATGGGCAATGTGGGTTTGTTTTTTTAGTAATCTCTGTGCCTAACCCAACGTGGGGCTCGAACTCCCCACCCTGAGATCAAGAGTAGCATATTCTACTGAGCCAGCAAGGCGCCCCACTGGTCTTTTTGAGCAATTTGAGACTCCATGTCCTCAGTGTGGCAGATTGAATTTTTCAAAGATGAAAGCAGCTGTGTCTCCCATTCTACTCGTTCTTCTGCAGTGACCTTGCTCCTCCCATCAAGAGGTACTGTAGTCTCTATCTTGAATGTAGGTGGTCTCTGTGACTACTTTGATCAGTAGAATACCGTGGAAGTGATGTGTGCCAGTCTAGATGACATTCTTAATGTTTTTAAGAGAGTGAGTGGGTGAGCAGGGGAGAGGGGCAGAGAGGAAGAAAGAGAATCTTAAGCAGGCTCCACACTGATCGTGGCTCATTCGGTTAAGTGACTTCAGCTCAGGTCATAATCTCATGGCTCATGGGTTTGAGCCCCACGTTGGCCTCTCTGCTGTCACCACAGAGCTCGCTTTGGATGCTATCTCCGTCTCTCTGCCCCTTCTCTGTTCATGCACTCTCTCAAAAATAAGTAAACACTAAAAAAAAAAATAAATGCTATAAAAAACAGAATCTTACAAAAATAAATTTCATATTTCACAATTACTAGTCTATTCAACTAATAAGGCAACTTGAGGAACTAAATGTAAGATTTTAGCTCTGACCAAATAACTCTAAGATTTTTTTTAGAAATTTTTGCATGCCCCATAGTAAGTCTATTTGTTTTTTTATTAAAAACTTTTTTAAAATATTTTTTTAATGTTTATTTATTTTTGAGAGAGAAAGAGAGAGTGCAAACAGGAGAGGGGCAGAGAGAGAGGGAGACACAGAATCTGAAGCAGGATCCAGGCTCTGAGCTGTCAGCACAGAGCCTGACGTGGGGCTTGAACTCACAGAGAGTGAGATCATGACCTGAGCTGAAGTCGGACGTTCAACCTACTGAGCCACTCAGGCGCCCCATAGTAAGTCTTTTCAAAAGCCAGCCACTCAGTAAGGTGAGTTTAGCAGGGTCGCTATCCCAGTAATGTCAGTGAACATCAAGTATCTGATTCTTAGAACAGTAACTGGTTTCTTTCAGTTTTCACCCATCTCCCTGACAGTGAAGCACTCCATATGCCTTAATGTACACAACAACATCTGGAAATACTATGACAATCTGAATATTCGCTAAATGAAAAACTACTCTGAGATGAATAATGTCATTGTTAATTTTGCCAGGACCTCAACTACAGGTAAGTCTGGATTAGGAAGACTGTTTTTCCACGGCTGAAAGAAAACAGAACTAAAAGAGGAAACATCTTCTTAGACTCATTTATTGCAATCTTTAAAAAAAATTTTTTTTAATGTTTATTTTTGAGACAGAGAAAGAGCATGAGCAGGGGAAGGGCAGAGACAGAGAGGGAGACATAGAATCTGAAGCAGGCTCCAGGCTCCAAGCTGTCAGCACAGAGACTGATGCAGGGCTCAAACTCACGAACCGCAAGATCATGACCTGAGCCGAAGTCAGAAGCTTAACCGACTGAGCCACCCAGGTGCCCCTTATTGCAGTCTTTTAAATGTTAACTGGTAGCCTCTGTATGGGAAATAAGGGTATCTGAAAGTGTCTTCAACCAAATCCTTTGTTGGTTTGGTAACATGCATATATCTGCTCAGTATTTTTTGTGACTACTATGCATGTTTATTTTTTTCTTAATACATAAAGCCATAAAATGTAGGCACTCTTTCTAGCAATGCACAGAAAGTAAAAAAACGTGGTGTCTAAGAGCCTTTAGAATCAGGTCTGAACATTTTCTGAATTAGCGTATGGATTCAGGGAATTGGGGATAGAGTCACTGAAGAGGCTGAGACAGCAGAGGAGGGTTGAAGCACTTTTAATCACACAAGAGTAAACAACAGTATAAACCCTTAGCGGCTCGCCCAGTGGCTATGGTCCTCTTCCAGCCCTCAGCTCACCCTCCCCCACTCCCGCTCCCTGCGTACCATTGAGTGAAGTGCAGGGCGTCAGCAGGACCCTGTCACTACCAGGTGGTGGGAAGGGAATCTAGCTAGGGGCCACAAAAACCCTGATCATCCATCCATGGTTATCTGTTTCTGTACAACTTCGTGTGACTTTTCGAGCTCCGAGGAGTAACAGTGCAGAAACCTGGAGCTGAACTCTACTGTTCCATTCAGATGGCCATAGCTTCAAAAGCCATGGACAACAAGGGAAGGGACAGTCCAGAGCCAGCATTACTCAAGATGCAGCCAAATCTGGGATTGAGGTGGGTTCAAAGGGGGCACAAGGCCTACTGGCCCCAGTCTAGTACTGTGCCCCAACCCAGGAAATGAAACTCGTGCATATGCACACATGCACATGCACACACACATACACATGCAGACAAACACACACACCCACACACACACCCACAAAGCAAATAACATTACCGAAAGAACCGGAGGCTATTAAATACAAAATGGCAGAGTTGGTTTTTTTTTTTTTTTTTAAGTGAAAATATTTGCTCTTTTGATTCTCCTCAGTGCCCTGCAGAGCCCCTAGTCACAAGAGTGTAGGTGGGGAGGCCTGAGAGGAGCAGGTTGCCAGTGGCCCTACAAGTCCATGTGTGCTCTAGTCCCCACACCAACCACCTTACTCTTCAGCCCAGTAGCTGCTTCCCATGTGACCATTCACCCGATTGGCGCCATTGCTGGAGCTGCTGCCACAGGGGCTTTTTGAGTTGGTGGTCGCTTCTTCTTCCTCTGAGCTGCTCTCCACATCACTGCGATCGTCCTTCGACACCTGCGTGGGATGGGGCCAGAAGTACGAAAGGTGAGGACAGAACTTGTCTGCTATTGTAAGACCACACAGCCCATGTTTGGGCACTGCTCCCACCATGGCCCACTTTCTGGTGGCACCGGACTCAAAACACTACCTGCGCCATGGATACCATCGTGAAAAGGCATCCTCTGCCTCTTTCTCAGTTTCTCTCTCCTCATCTCTGATTCTGTTCCCTATGGAATAAGAAGCTGCGTTGGCAGTGGGGGGTGTGTGTCTCTCAGGACCAGCCGAGGGAGGTGAAATCATTCTCTGAGGCCAGGTTGAGGTCTGAGGGAAACTCCAGATGCTCTTCTCCTCCCCCACTTCAAAAAATAGAAAAGGCCGATACAAACAATACAGATGGCCGTCACCATCGCTTCTATCTCGTGATGGTTGTGGCCACTGCAGTTATTCATGTTGGTTATCCTGACTGTTGCTTTATCCCCAAAGCTGATTCATAACTAGGCCTTCTTCAGTAGTTTTACTGTCTTTGGGCTTAATACCCTATGACACTATTTCTCCAATCTTGTCCGTTTTCCCACTGGCAAGACCACTTCTGTGCAACTTTAGCATTGCCAAGATACCAGTCTGGTGAAAAGAAAAGTGGATTGGCAGTCATCAAGAGAAGAATCCCAGCCCCAATCATGTTGCTGTCTGTGAATCTTTACTTTTTTTTTTTTTT